CTAAAACCAGTAATTAAAGACAGATGGTGATGAGTCCACTGTGACTATCGATTGGTTGTTTACTGTTCCTTCCTACAGCCCCAGAGGCACCTCGGTATCTATGGGTGAGGGATTAGGTTCCCCATTGTCACCAGAACCAACACACAATGCACACACTGATAAAGTCAAGATACCACCTTAGCTGAAATGCTTGGCCACACTGCGGTGACTTACCCCTTACAGCCACAATTTCAGTGTGCAACAAAGCTCACAGTTGCTGGCACAACACCTTCTGAGGCTGAACTCTACATGGAGCTGAGCTACTGCTGTTTCACAGGCTAACATCCTATGCCTGTTTTCAACCACAGCCCCCTTCCTCCTCTATATAAGCCGTCTCTATAGGATTCAGTGAATCCTATAGAGACGGCTTAACTGGGAGTGAAGTGTTAAACCTCAATTTTGCAAGCGAGTGTATTCAGGGTATCTGCAGCTCTCTTTATATCTGAAGAAGCAATTTTCTTTTAAAAGCAAGTTTCTTTTTAAACAGCATGTACAATGGCCCTTAATGCACTGAGGCATATTCAGATGCACGAAAACAAATAAAGAAAGCATCTTCACTAATATGACAAGCACGTATGCAGTATGTACTTGCTAAAAGAGGTTGGCTTGGTATTGAAAACTAAACCAGCATTATGTGCGGAATGTACATTGCAGATAATGCTAATAGCCTCCCACTATTTTATTATTTGGTCCTGCTTTTGGTTCTTTCTGCACATAAATGTTACAAAATAAAATGCAAATATAGTATTAAATATTATTTTTCCCTAATTGTTCTAAAACAATTAGATTAAGCTGTTTAATCTTTGCTGGATTTCAGACAGAAAGGTCTACCTCAACACTTTTATTAATTGGGTCATCCTTTTTTTTTTTCTAATATAATGTCAAGCTCTTTTGATCGTCTTCCTGAAACAAAGCCCCAGAGGCCTCACTCACATAAGGCTAGATGCTGGTTAGTGACCCCCTAGAAACCAAATTTCACTAGAGAAATAAAATTTGTTCCTGATTGGTTGGCGAGTGGTTGCAGGAGATTCCTCGCTGTCGCTGGGTGAAATTAGTTGCACAGGGGGTGCTGGACCAGCAGATTGTGGTGTTTGCCTGTAGTTTTCATAGAAGATGCCTACATGTATGCAAACAGTCACTAACTAACCACTGAGTTATAGTGAAACTTGAAAAAGCGTGTCGCAAACCAGAATCGGAGAACTTCAAAGTAAACGTTTTGTCTTATTGTTGAAACCAACGCTTCCAAAGAAGCAGCTTTTACTTTAAGGATAAATACGCTCTCTTTCTGGTTAGTGTTTATTTCACTAACACTTAGCAAGTAGTTGGTGACCATTTGCAGATAAATTGACATCTTACGTACCGACCTTGGTGCAACTTAAAACTGTGAGGAAATGAATAGTGGTTGACTCTGTTTGTGACCTCTCTTGCAAAGAGTTGCAACCAGTTTCATCAACCAAGCAATCTCAAGAAGAACCAGTGGTGGATTCCAGGGTTGTTAGGTACTTGTACAGTAGAAGACCTCCATACCTTGAAATTACACCTCGACACTGGTGAACTGCAGTATCATTACTTAGAAAACAAACCGGTAGTATGCATTAGTTCCAGGGTTCCCAAAGTGCCCCAAAGACCAATAGCAGTCCTTGAGATTTCATTCATGGAGAGCTCTTATATTTAGCAGCGCAGAATTAGGGGTAAATGTAACAATCACTTCTCTAGTGGTCAAAGTGGAATAAAGTAGCACAACAGTAACAATTACCCATGTAACTATCACCCCCCTAAATGGAAGTATAGGTAACATAAATATAAAAAACGTCTTTGCATTTCTACTGCATCACATCTCCAGCTTTAGTTCTTAAAATGCTCCAGACTAGTTTCCTGATGTGTTGGGAGGGAAGGAGTTAAGTATGGTTGCTATGTGGTGTACAGAGCTGTATTATGCAAGCTGTGAAGAGCAGACAGAGAGAGCGAGGAAGTGCATTACAGAATGCTGAGCTCAGGGCTTTGGCTCGCCGCCAAGCAACTCCTGCATGTGCTCACTGACACACTCAGCTGAGGGCATACCGATTTTTCCAGCAGCACAGTGGTGGCCTCCTCCCTCCTCTCGAGTCACTCTCTTTCTGTTACGTCAGTGGTTCAGCTGTAGGCCAGGCATGACTGGGGCAGGGCGGCGTAACGGAGAGCACCACACATTTCATCTCGTGTGTGTGTGTTGTGTATGTGTGTGTCTGTATTTAAAAAAAAAAAAAAAAAAGACAGGATGTGGACTGGTGGTTGTGTGGTTGACTGAGTGTCTGCTCAACTGGAAAAGCAGAAAGAACTGAAACACCTTAGTTTTTTTCTTTTCTATTTCTATACAAGTTTCACTCTCAGATATTGTCTTGTAGTCCTTCCGCCTCTTTTGTTTTTTCTCACAAAGCACCATCACATCTGCAGACAAACACCTACTCTTGTTCGCTTCTTTTACTGAGCAAGGGAACATCCGATTTTGATGTTGCAACTGCAGAAGTTGCATTCAGCACTAACATTAATAGCTATAAATATGTGACCACGTGCGTCATAGCGATATTGCTGCAAATACTCATAGCTGTGACACAGATTTAGTGCTGTCCATAAAAACACTCGCGCCTCTCTTGATCTCTCTTCTTTTTAGTTTGATCTCTGGTTTCAAAGAAGTTGAGCCACAGATTTTACATTTATGATGTTATTCGATATAGGAAGGCTTTGAAAACATTTTTGCGTTTATTTAACAGTAAACAAATTTGTACTATGAGATTTGGTGAGAAAAAGTGAACTTGCAGGGAGTAGAACACTCGTGCTCACTTACTGTACTCGGGTTTTGTTGGTGTGTCATTACTTGGCCTGAAAAGACCAGAAGCTGATAGCTAATGTTAGCTAAAGTTAGCTAGCATCTGGTCTTGCTCTTTTTCAACTCATGCAGCCTTTGCACACGCTAAATGATTGCTGACTGTACAGAAAGTGTATTGGAATCTCTTTAATATGCTTAAAGCAGACTTATAATGCTAGTTTCCAGTTCACTATTTTTATTCTTGGACTCTATTGCTGACTCACAGTTGAAATAATCTTGATCTCCTCCCTCGTGTATCCCATTAGTTCATCCTCTGTCTGGAAAAAAAGAAGCTGTTTTAGCTCCATTCCCTCTATCTTAAAGCCAACTTTGTTCTGACTGACTGACTGCTTTTGACAAACAGAAAGTTCATACGTGGGGCTTCAGTCCTCACAGCCAGAGATGTATGCCTGAGATGACCGGATATCATACAGATACAGTTAGAATAAGGAATGTAAGTGTGTGTGTGTGTGTGTGTGTGTGTGTGTGTGTGTGTGTGTGTGTTAGTCTTGGTTGAATATCTTAACATCACTTTCTAAAGACATCTCATTTCTAAAGAGATATGATTTAAATCTCTTTCTGTCTGCTTTCAAACGATTACATAGACAGCATCTGACAGAAGGTTGGCTCTTTAATGCATTTCCCATTTTCTTTGGCTTAAGCGACCATCTAATAATGCTGTCTGTCATCTGTCACTGTCTGGCATGGAGGCTTATCAGCCTCCCTGTTGGCCACGTTACATGATTTTCAGTTTGAATGACAACATGATGCAAGACGTACATCATGCTCCTGCGATTCGAGGTCTAAATAAGCCACTGTTCTGCCTGTGTATCGTAAAATGAGCTATGCATGTGCTCCCTGTAGTAAGATTAAAACAGTACAGACTAAATGAAATTGTTTATATCAGTTTAGCTCTGGCTGAGTTTATGAAACCATCTGTCATCAACTGATAACCCACTAACTCAGTCAGATTGCCCATTTATTCTAATTACAGAAGAATTTTACCCATAAAGTACTTGTTGCATTGTCATATTCTGCCAAAACATGTCCATCTGTTATGGCTCTCAAAACTCAACACATATTTAAACCTCACTCCCACGTGGTGTTGCTGTTCTTTTGAATCTGTATTTGTCACATTTGGCTTTTATTTATGTTTTTTCCCTGTCAAAACCCCTAAGCTGGGAAGAGTAAATTCAAGGTCACATTCACATTAAAATACGTTTTTTTAAATTCTTTTTTTCCCAAACACACAGAGGCCTGTACATTTTGGCCATGAGAGGGCCATAGGTTCACAATACAATAACAGTTCTCAGTGCCTGTGAACGATCCTGTCTTTGCTGAAGTGCTGGTGAGGATAAGGTAAACACTGAAGGTGTTGTGGAAAGGAAATGAAAAGGAAATGAGAAAATTTTGGTCTTTGCACTCAGTCGTGCCCTTTACCTTTTTTGTGTCCATTTTTTTCACCTGGGCAGCACTTTGTCGATCACGTGAAATTAAGGTAGAACCAAAGAACGAGAATAGGATCATTCTGAACAACATCCAAAGATAAAAATAGTTGTATGAAGGGATACATTTGTAGTGAATTATTACCATAATCTGGCAACTCATTGTTTAACTGACTGTTTTGGAGTACTCTCACTAGCTCCTTAATCCCAAAAGTAGTTACATTATATTATATAGTGTAATATGTTACCAAACATATATTATATGATATTATTGTATTGGATACAATTATAACAACAATAAGCTTCAATTCACTTTAAGTTTTATTTAAAAAGTCCTAGAACACATATTTGTCTTAAGGTACCTTATATTGTAAGGGCAACTGGCCTTTTCCTTAAAAAAAAAAAGAAAGAAAAAGAATATTTTGAGTGTAAACAGTTAAGGACCCAGCACAGATCCTCGGTAGCTCAGTAGATATTGCATGAGACTTTTAATCTCAAAATTGTGGGTTTGAGTTCTATGCTGGATGCAGGTTTGTTGGAAATTATAAATAAACAAAGTATATCTTATTTTAATTTTAAGCCGTGGTTTGTGATTATGTACATGGTGAAATTATGTACATGAAAATACATGGTGTGATTAATTTCTAATGGTCATTTCTGTCTCTTTGCAGGTTTTCACCTCAGTGGCACAGTAAGGGAACCCGCTACACCCTCTGAGCCAGAGCTAGTCTGCAATGTGAGCGTCAGCTTCGACCGCTGCAAAATCACAGCAGTGACATGCAGCTGCGGCAACAAGGACATTTTTTACTGTGCCCACGTTGTGGCACTCTCACTGTACCGAGTACGGAAGCCAGAGCAGGTCAAACTGCGCCTGCCCATCTCAGAGACTCTATTCCAAATGAACAGAGATCAACTGCAGAAGTTTGTTCAGTACCTTATCACAGTGCATCACACAGATGTGCTGCCGACAGCACAGAAGCTGGCAGATGAAATACTGTCACAGAACTCAGAGATCAACCAGGTCCACGGTGAGTGGAGCCACTGCTTTAAGGGTGGTTTGTGATTTTAGACAAAGACCAGGCTGTCCATAAACACAGAAACAGACACAAATAAATCCATGTACCTGGATTAGATTAGATTTTCTTCATCTTCCATCAGTGGATTTCCAGTTGTCATCTCCATATGTACTGTGTATGTAAGTGCACCCTGTACTACAGCATACAAGAAGGAGACTTTCTTTGTGTGTATTTGTGATACATAGTGACACATAAGTCCCCATTTCATATATATTTGAGCAAACGTCTGCCTGAATACATTATCTTATGCTAAAAAGCATCTCTTGTATATGTAGCTTTAGTATCTTAAAATTAAACTGAAAATTACCTTCTTGAACAAATTATCTGCCTGAAAATGTACCTGTGTGTTTCTGAATTACTTTAGTATTAATGGTTTTATGTAGATTGTTGTACTGAGCAGAACAAATCTAAAGTAGTGCTGCAGCTAACTATGATTTTAATTTTGCTGCTGAAACTGTTGCCCGTACTGATGAATCATTTTACCCTTAAAATGTCAGAACATCGCGAAATTGTCCATTTTAACTTTCTGAATCCCAGGTTGATAAATTAAATCTTTTAAGTATTTTACAATACAGTATATGAATGTTTAAATTATGATTTAAATAACTGGTTATCAGAATATAAGGATGACTAAGTGTGTACTTATAGTGGAACATATTTAGCATAAACCTTATGGATTATATATTCCCTGGAGTTGGGTGTTAAGCGTTAGAAATGAAGGATGCACTCTTTGCTCATGTAGAATGCTTATTGTTGCAGATTTTGCATTATTTTCACTATTGATCAGCATTTAAGCTTGCACAGCACTAATGCTTTAATGCAAAAAGTAAACTAGTAGATATGCTGATGGTGCCATATTCATTTTGTGCTCTTCCCTGAAAAGACACTTGTTTGGAAATCAGCGCAAGTTGTTTAATCATTGTTTAAAATAATAAGACCATATGCATTAATGGACATACGAATATATAAGTACTTGTGCTTTTGATGCTTTCACATTACATACTGTTTTGCACTGCATCAAATCAGTTTTTTATGAGGACATCTAGTTGTTGTTAAGAGTTACTGACTTATTCATTTTCATTCACTGCAGGAGCTCCTGATCCGACAGCGGGGGCAAGTGTAGATGACGAGAACTGTTGGCATCTGGATGAGGAGCAAGTCCAGGAACAGGTCAAGCTCTTTCTCTCCCAGGGCGGGTACCATGGCTCAGGAAAGCAGCTCAACTTACTGTTCAGCAAGGTACTGACCCACTAATCACATCATGTCTTATATGTACGGTGATTTTGTTGATTTTATGTATATTTATTCTGATACTCTACAAGCTATTTGCACTGATAGTCAAAACACCTTCCAAATTTAATACCTTAAGGGGTACCAGAATGATCCATGCTTGGTCTTTTATCATTTACATTAAAAGTGTTTTATTTCTTTGGTGAAATTAAAATAATCCAGAACTGTCACCTTGATTTTGATCCTATTATCTGATTAAATAAAAGTGATATATACCGTTTACTCACAGTGACGTTGTCTCTGTAGGTGAGAGAGATGCTGAAGATGAGGGACTCCAATGGAGCTCGCATGTTAACACTGATCACAGAGCAGTTCATGGGTGACCCTAGATTGGCGCTGTGGAGGCAACAGGGGACGGCCATGACTGACAAGTACAGGCAGCTGTGGGACGAACTAGGTACAGTGATAACAGGCACACAAACAGAATTTCAACCAATTTGTGGCAGCTTTAGTATGTGAGCGGCTACAGTGCAGTTCAACCAGCTGTCTTTTTCTTATGATTCTCTTAACCCTTAGATGTCCTATTGTTTATTACAATTTATTACAGAAATACATTTTGAAATTCTGAGATTCAAAATCTTGCAAGATAAAGAATGTGAAATCCTTTGCATTCATCCACCGCTAGTTTTTATATGTTTATGTGAGCAATAAGCTTATTTACCTGATTTTTTTTTTCCTGTTCTCTAGCAGGGGGAAACTCCACTGTTTGCAAAAAGAACTCTTGCTATGTAGAAGTCTATAGAAAAATAACTCTTTGTCTCCCCTACTCTATGACCTCAGTAAACACTTTCCTGATAAGTTTATTATCTCAATCGGTAGTTTTACGTCTTATTGAATATGAATTTTGTAAATTATGCTCCCGGATAAAACAAGTGACATCCTGTTTAAAAAACCAAACAAACAAAAATACAAAAAACAAATCGAATCAAGACTGATGTGATGGTCCATTTGAGGCCTCATAACAGGAGTTTGCTAATAGGTGACATCAGGATTCGCCCATCTTTTATATACAGTCTATGGCTGATTCTAATCGCTTGTCCCAGATGGTGACTGTTCCTTTTGCAGAAACAGACCAAAAACGAAACAAAACCAGCCAGACTCCAAGTGTAAAGCTGACCTATTTGCTTGTGATCAAAGATAACTCAGATTTCCCTTAAAAACAAACTCAAAATCCTGTTTTCATGAACATTTAAGTCCTTTTTATAAAAATTCTAATATTAAATCTTAAATCGTAAATATTAATGTTTTACTTATTTCCCCATCTTCTGTTTCCTTTCCTTCCCCTGTGTGTTGCTGTTGAAGATTCTTTCTCTGCATTTCGTCACTCACGTGTGACGTCGCCCTGCTGTTTTCCCTCCTCCGTGTTGTCCTTGGTGCACCCCTAACAAAGAGACAGAGGATAAAGCCTGTCTCCTCCTTCCCCTTCCCCCTCATTGTGAGCCTCCCTCCCTCCCTCCCTCCTGTATTCACTTCATCCCTCCCCTCACCACTTGTCTTCTCTTTTTTTGGGACATCTTCTTTTTTTTTTTTTTTTCAATTTCGTTTTGCCCTAACATAGTCATTATTCCCTTCATCCTTCTTCAGCCTCTTTGAGTGTGTGTGTGTGTGTGTGTGTGTGTGTGTGTGTTATTTTTTTTCACTACTGTCTTCATGGTTTTAGCCAACAGTGCAATTAATCTCCCAATTGTTTATGGAGCTGCAACAATTAATTAAGTAATACAGCATCAGGAATTGAATTGGCATAATCACTTACTGATTTTAGTCTTTTTCCTTTTGTGGTCATTTTGTCACACAAAACAGAACATCATATATTAGCAGCACATGCTTGGACTGTTCAGAACAAATTGGCACTTTCTTGAATTTGGTTACAACAACAATATGAATATTTCCTGCTGTCTTATCAATTCAGGTTTCAGCTTTGATTGCTTAGTCGATAACATAAAAATATATCCATCTGTTTGGTTGGATATGTAAAATGCTGGTCCAAAACTGTCTTTCAACTGTGTTATGTTTGTATGTTTGTTTGTTTGTTTGTTTAAAAAAGCTTTTTTTGGTTCCAGCTTTTGAGCTTTTATTGATCTAATATGACAGCAAACTGATTCTTGACTTGACGTTACAAGCCTATAGACTGTATATCGAAGATGGACAGAGCCTAATCATCTGCAGGATTCACCTTTATTCTTTTGGCTGTTGGTGTTAGTTTTTCCAGAGCTAGAAATAACCATATTTAGAGAAGCCTATGATGTACTTAGTTATTAACTAATGCTGACAAGCATGTGCTAGCAAGCTGAACTGATAAACTAAAACATATGCAAACGCATCCACACAGGCATGGATAGCTGCTGATTAGCGCTTAGCGGTCGAAGCATAGACTTCTTTGATGGTCTCAATCACACAGCAAGCTATATTACTTGACAGATAATTTCATTAAAATGCTATAATCTGCTATAATCTGCTATAATTTACATGAAAAGGTGACTTCAGCTCGTGCAGGTGAGGCTAATAGCTACACTTGCCAGTGTCGGCTTATCCATCAGTCAAAGTAGTCACCTCAAATTTTAAGCTTTATCAGTATCAAAAAGGGTGAGTTATTAAAACAAAAACAGCTCTCTGATGTTTTGTAACGGGAAATTAGCTGTACTGAAATTTGAAACTGAAATTGGCTGTCAGAGTTTAACAGGGGAGGTAAATGGTCTGCTTTTGCAGAAAGCCTCAAGTGGCCATTAGGGGAACTGCAGATCCTTTCTTGTATTTCTTTTTTTTTTTGGCACTTCCATGTTTGCTTCATTTTTCAGCCCTTAAGGTTGCCGGTTCAACTGAGCACAAAACAATCTCATGATTTATAAACCAGCATAATCAACAGTTTAATCAATAATGAAAGTATTGGCTAGCAGCAGCCCTCAATTATTTAACAAGTTAACTTGAAGCTACAAAACTTTATGGATTATTAAATTCCTTTTTTTTTTTTCTTCATTCTGTTCTCTTGCTGCAAGTCTCAGAAGAGGAGAGCAAAGTTTGTAAGTGTAATATATCTGGATATGTGTGTGCAGGGGCCCTGTGGATGTGCATCGTGCTGAACCCCCACTGCAAACCTGAGCAGAAGGCTTTCTGGCTACGTCAGCTTCGCAGGTGGAACAGCGTGGATGTCTGCCCCTTGGAGGACGGTAACCATAGTAGCGAACTGACCAATCTGACCAACGTTCTGCCCCAGGGCCCTGCTGGTAACCCAGGTGAGATGACACCAGGCAGAAATATGTCTTCCTATTGTTTTATTCCCAGACGCTCTCCTGCATCACATCATTTCTTTGTCCAATCTCCAGCAGCACTGCCCCCCCCCCAAAAAAATTAAAAAATCAAGTCTCCTTTCAATCTCGGCGGCCGTGAGGCTTTTTACCTTTTTACTAATAGAATGATCCTAATAACACATTTGAGGTCCTGAAGCTTTTTCTGGCTCTATTCTCTCCTCAGCTTTAGCTAAATCGGAGAAAATCCAGAGAAATTAATGTTTCTTTCAGGCAATAATAAAAATGTTTCAAATGAGCTGAAGGGACCTTTTATTACTGCTGAGATTTTTGCCTGTAACACGCTGCACTTGTTATGTTACTGACCTTTTTTCAGTTCAACTTATTCAACTTATTCATTATACATCTTGTCACTCTCTTATTCTCTGTCTTTTTCATATACACTCCCGATCAATAAATTGAATGCTCAAAAAAAAGTTTTCTCTCACTGCCATGTCTTTTTGTTGCATGATGAAGCTCTACTTGGAACCATGTTAAGATCCAACCATGCAAAATATGATTTTTTTTTTGCCATTTTTCAAGCAATCTTAAACTTTTGTATTCAGCTTTTGTAGCACTTTGCGAAATCTAAGACTGGAAATATAACTGTGTCACAAAAATGAAACCATCCATCAGGACTTTTGTACTAGGCTGTAAACATGCCTTTTAACTCCTGGTCATTTTAACCCCTGATCATTCCTAAATTTATCAAATCAAAAAAAAAGTTTGCGCTTGACCTCAGAGTCAGCCTCAGGTGGCCATAGGAGGAATCCGAAGGGAACCAGTATCATGTAGGCTTCAAATATATTTCTCAGATGGAAATTTAATTAATAAATTGCTTTGCCTTTATCATCAAACTATGTTGATTAAATGATCTAATTAGGCACACAAAATAAACCACCACACTCCACTACCTCGCAGCTTGACGTTTAAAAACATCTGACGTCTCTCACAGACTCGCTGTCTCGGCCTCACCGGACGGTCTTCACACGAGCCATCGAGGCCTGCGACCTGCACTGGCAGGACCCCCACCTGCAAAACATCATCACGGAGGACCACTACACCAACTACTGCTACCATGAGAACCTCGACTCGTCCCTCTTCGACACCCGAGGGTGGCCTTTGTGGCATGGTGAGAGAGAAGAGTTGTGGTTAGAGATAACAAGAAATAAATTTAGAAAAAAAAGCAGAAGGAATACAAATGAAATAACTTCTCCTTCCCACAGAGCACGTCCCTACAGCGTGTGCCCGAGTGGATGCCCTGAGATCACACGGATACCCCAAAGAAGCGCTCAGGCTGGCCATCGCCATCGTCAACACACTGCGGCGGCAGCAGCAGAAACAGCTGGAGCTCTTTCGCTCCCACAAAAAAGGTCAGTGTACCCTCTTTTAATGTGCTCTTTAGTTTTGCTTTCCTACTTTTAATCAGTGCCCTCCAAAGTCTGTTTTCATTTTACTGCTGTATTATCTGTATACACAACGTCTGTTCACCCGCGAAGAAGAACACATCCTCGCTTGCTCTTATTTAGGTTTCCCTCTTACAGGAACTTGGCCAATCAAGCACGTATGCAAAAAATGCAAAAACATTATTTTGCATTGAACTAAAGTGCAAATGTTCACGCATCTTTACAAACAGCCATCTGTTCGATTGCTCTTGTTTTTTTTGTTTGTTTGTTAAGGTTATTGGTGTTATCTGCTTGTATAATTCAAATTTGGGCTTGAACATTCATGGGAAACATTTATTTGGGGCTCAATTACTCTGTTGGTGGAGCCCTGTGGCTCACTTAAAGTTCTCTATGAAAAACCGGTCTAACATAAATAGGGGCTTTTTATTAACTGTAAATCATGCAAAATTATGCCAACAGAGCTGTAGAATAAAAATACAGACCTAGAAATTTGCATGTGTGGATTAAGTGGAACTGCATCTTGGAGACCTTTTCCACAGGTTATTTGTTTTTTGTGCTTTATGGAGTAGATTAAAGTGTCTCTGCGTATCTGTATCTATATATTCCTATCTATGTATTCCTTCAATGACACTGACATCATAGCTCTGTGGGGGTCACAACATCTGTTGCTGGAGACCCTTTTTAGATATGCATACAAGCTGTATTTAGTTTTCTGTGACACTTTCTATCAGTTTAACACCAGAATGTCAACAGTTCATCAACAGTCATTTACGACCATGAAAGATTATTTCATATGCAGGAATTTATATCCGACTCTGTTCTGGTGACAGGAAATATTTAAAAAAGACAATATAGAAACAACAGGAAATATTAAAAAAAGACAATATAGAAACAACAGGAAAAGAGGATGTGTGGTGGATTTGGGTTGCAAAGGGGCTTGCAGAAATGTGTGCAGGCTTAAGTCAGTTAAATAGTACACCCTATATGAGATACATGGATGTTTTAGGCTTATTCAGCATCATGACATGGTCTTCCTAGCCTGCCTAAACTAATGTTATAAACTAATACTTAGTGTCTTTGTGTTACTGCAGAGCTGCTAAACAGAGGAATTACAGCAGTCACCAACCTGGAAGGATGGGTGGGCCACCCTCTGGACCCCATCGGCACCCTTTTCAGCACCCTCATGGAGATGGGGAGGGGCAGCGAGGAGGGAATTCTGCTTGATTTCTCAGGTGCGTGCAGATCGTTCACATCCTCTGGTGCCAAAAGTCTTTCTGAAGACTGGTGCCTTTGTTTGCTCTAATTCTTTTGTGAGATATTTTCATGTCTTTTTTTGGGTTGATAATATTTATGGAAGATGTGTGTTTGCTGAAATTACCTAGAGAACCCTACAAGGCACACATTTTTAAGAGGTAATAGGGCAAAAGTATGGTGAGTCACTGATGAGCTTTAACATTTTATTGGATTTTGTAGTGTTACCATAGGATGCAAAGTCAAAGAAATGTAGTGGTAGTAGAAAGTACAATATTGTTCTCTGAATGCAATGATATAGAAATATACTGTAGCTGAAAATGAAAATACTCAAGTGATTATGTATGTATGGTTGCTTTCCTTTGCTGCAGATGTTATACACACACACACACACACACACACACACACACACACACACACACACACACACACACACACACACACACTCATACTCATACTCATTTTCCAGAGTGTGCCTCCAACATTTACACTGCAGTGATTGTATCTTCTCTGTCAGAGCTGCAGGCCCTCAGGTCACAATCAGCACAGTTGACACAGACATGCTGATTGGCCTCCAGTCATCCTCCAATAACAGCTCATGAATAAGAAATGCAGCAGGAAAAACACTCCAATTAAAATGCATTAATTATGCAGGGAGCTCAGCGAGACGAATTTCAGCGTACTGTAGCCAGAACAGACGTCACATTAGCACTCGGTTTTGCTTGTAAAGAACAGTTTCTTCAGGAACTGCTCAGGGCCCTTCATTTTTATGTTCTAGATTTAATTTTAAAAACATAACCCTGATTTTAATCACCATCAATCTACAATGAATTCTTAATGAAAACTGAAATCCCCTTATTAAAAGAAGTTTTCAGAGACTTAATTCAGTACTTTGTAGAGGTACCCTTAGCTGCAGTTATGTAATTGTGTCATGTTGGAAAAGCCTCCACAGGCTTTTCCTGTCGAGGGTGGAGGTCTCCAAGATGCAGCACCTAGATTTGGGCAGTTCATCCCATTTTGTTTTCTACCTCTTGTCAGGCTTGGCAGGATGGCATGGCAAGCATCTGAACTGCCTTATTCAGAGTTTTCCACAGGTAGTCTGTGGGGTGTTGGCTGAGACACTCAACTTCAGCCCTAAAGACTTGTCCTGAGACCATTCCATTATTATCTTTGCCAGTTTAGATTCTTGTTACGCTAAAAGCTGAACTGTAGTCCCAGTCTTTGGTCTCTGGGGGGGGTTCTTTAAGAAATTCTGTTTGGCTGCATTTATTCTCTTAGTCCTAACTGATCTCCCTTACCCTTTCCCCTTCTTAGAAGCACCACCACAGCAGGGAGCTACTGCCACCATCCTTCACTTAGCTGTCTTTTTTCCTCGTGTTCTCTCAGCCCTTTATATACAATTTCTTAAGCTCTTAGCAGTCATAAATATTTTGCTCAGACTGACTCATCCAGCTGTAAAGGTCTAACTAGTGCAGTGCTGTTGAGTTGGTTTGCATGTTTTTTTTCTCTGCAGAGGGCTTCTCTTTTTAGATGTATGACGAACTCTATGAAAAGATTAGATGGTATCAAAGCACCAACTATAAAGAGAAATTGTTTGATACCAAAGTGTTGTGTATCATACATACACTGCTCATACACACTTCAGCTGTGGTGGTTTGCATTGAGACTCTTGGATCTTTACTTCGTAAGGTTTATTGAGTGTAGATTGATGGGTAAAAATATGAGTTGTCAATATGAATTCAAGAAGTGAAGGAACTTTTGGGTAAACTTGGGTAAAAATATGAGTTGTCAATATGAATTCAAGAAGTGAAGGAACTTTTTGTAGTGAATATAAGGCTTTTTTTTTTTGGTGGGAAGGTTTTCAATTAAGCCTGTGCTATTTATAACTGTGCGTGTGTGTGTGCGCGCGCTCATTAGGGACTGTTAATTCTCCTGGGATGAACTGTAAGGTCTGCCAAGACATCATTAAACCATTAAAACACATGATTACCATCAGGAGGGTACACAGTGAGGAAAATGGAACACGAGAATGAACAAACAGATCAGTAGATTTATCAATACTCAGCTCAATCTGCACCCCAAAGGGGACATTGTCCTTGCTAAGTCATCTCTCACCCTGTCCTCCTCCCAACTCTCTCTCTTACCCTCAGGCTCGCTGGGTTCAGGCAGATGGACGGAGCATCCGGTTTTCCCAGCGCAGCGTTTCTTGGAAGAAGGAGAGTCTTTCCTGTCGTTGGCTGTGGAGACAGCTCTCATTGGACTGGGGCAGCAGAGAGTGATGCCAGACGGCCTTTACGCTCAGGAGAAAGTGTGTCGCAATGAAGAGCAACTATTGGGCAAGCTTCAAGAAATTGATTTAAATGACATGCTGGTGAAGATCTTCCGGAAGCAAGCTGTCTTACTGCTAGAGGGTGAGTAGGACCCAACTTTAACAACATTAAGCTGCTTTTTCGAACAGTGAGCTTAAAGAACAGACTCTGTGTGTACAAGGTTGTTAACTCTGTGTACTTTGCAGGTTCTGTGCTGTACATGTACGTTTACGCTTCGTTTGGAGTCCCGTATTTACAATTGTGGACTTGTTTGCATTGTCAGTCTGTTGTCGCTGTGTATTTGTCTGTGTGTATGTTATGGCTTTAGTTTTCCTGCCAATATGTCTTTTGCACACCATGGTTGTGTTTATTGGGTAAAATTATTCGCTGTCCTGATAGTATGAAAAAAATGTCAACACAAAATAATCTTGTGATATTCTACTCTATTCTATTGTCAGCAAAAGCGTACTAAAAGCTGACATTTCCTGTGCCAGAAAGCTCTGCTGTTCTCCAAAAGCATATTAAAAGCACATCCATGAGTCAACACTGTTGTATTGTGCGACATGATCTTTCTTTGCTATGGACACACATTGTAGTCTGTTTTAGTTTACTTCTCACGTACAGCAGAACAAACTTAACTCACTGTTGTTTTTAGTCTTTTCATGCGAATTGTTTTCAGATTCCAGGTTAAGATGTTAAAAAGATCCATTTTTTTAATGGAAAACTGAACTTTCACTAAAAACCATAATCTGCCAGAAGTACCAAATGTATATTCGTTTACAGTTAAAAATAGTTTATTTATTTTAGTGTAGAAAAACCTGTTCCAGGTGATCTGAGAATTTAAAAATGAAACTACATAATTGTGATTTTCTTTTTCTTTTTTAAAAAGAGACTTGAATACGAAGTAAAAACCAGTGAGCTTGGAGTGTATATTCCACAAAGAACAGGGCAGTTATCCACTAACAGCTGCAAGGCTTAAAAAAGTGAAGGAAATAATCATTTTAATATATATTATCAAAGTCTGTAAATCTTTATTTCTTTTAACACATTTTAGCTCTTTTATTTATAAAGTATAAAGAAATAAAGCATGAGAAAATTTAGAATGAGCCCAGCATTTCAATTAAATCCAATAACTTCTTTAATTTAACTGAATTATTGTCTTAGAGAAAACCAATATTGAATTTAATAGAAGCGATTATACTAAATAAGCCCTTTTTGTGCCACCACACCAGCACTTGAAAGCTTTTCCTAGAAGCTGTTTCATTTTCTTTAGAACTACATGCATATTGACATGTTTCAGGATGTCCTCTTGCACAGTTTAAAAGCAAAACGTTTCTGCTTTCTGTTTCACCAACACAGTGATCACAGCTTTGTGGGTTTAATCAGCACTATCAAACTTGTTAACGTCAGGCTGGGAAACAATCTGGTACATAGGGTTACCACCCAGTCATATATGAAGCTCTTCTCTGCACTCATCTGTATTCACGTCGACTCTGTACAGACTGAACTGATCCATGTCTTTCTTGTTTCTTCCAGCTGGTCCTTACAGTGGTCTGGGGGAAATACTCTACAGAGAGAGTGTCCCCATGCACACTTTTGCCAAGTTTCTGTTCACCTCCCTGCTACCTCACGATGCTGAACTGGCATATAGAATTGCACTGAGGGCTATGAGGTGAGTTACATGCTGTCTATATTTAAATGTAGTTTAAATATAGACATGAGAAAACATAAAAACAAAACCAACAACATTCTGAAAACAGGATGTTTCACTTTCCAGTTGCTTGTTTTTGAATGGATAGACAAGGTGACAGTTCAAGGTAATTTCCTTTATCGCCTGTCTTTTATTTTTCCCCACCTCCAAACTATATTGTCTTAGGACCTAATTCTAAATATCCTGTATGGAAAAATACTCATGTGTGATTTCAATGGCAGTACAACAACCATTGAAAACATGATTTTTTTTAAAAAGGACAGAATACTAGTATCCACCACTGATATAGTACCTTTTGTACTTGTATAACATCAGTGATAAAGGTACTTATTGTAAGTTCCTGAAGCTGTTAACAGAATGTGAACAAACCACCAAAGTGACCTAAAAGAAATTTAAATTTAAATTTAAAAAAAAATCTGTGTATTGTATTGAAGCTGTATCAACTGAAGCTGAACTAGGGCGTGTTGTGTTATAAGGGCTGTCTTGTGTACAAAATGGTATTTTTGTACCACAGGCTGATGCAGTAAGTCAACGTCACCTTTATTTAACTGAGGAAGTCATAGAAATTACAATACATGATTCATATTTCTATATTAAGCCTACGTTAGTAGCCACCATGTATACTTGTGCAGCATGTGCCTGCACATAAGAAAGTGTACATCCGGTTGAAGTGTAACTTTAGAAAGGTTTGTGGTTATTACCTACAGAATTACTGCAGAAACTTGAATCATACATTATTTAAAATGACAGGCCAACAAAAGGCAAAATCTCTTGAGGAAATGAAGCTAGCAAAAACTAAACAAAAAATATTTTATCTAGAACTCATAGTAAAAAATAGACGTCTAGATTAGGCAAGACGAAATGGCTGAGAAACTAAAAAAAAACATGCAAATAGTGGCGCTAAGCTAACATTTTCAGGCGATCATTTTCATTCAGACTTCCTTCATGTTGGAAGGAAGGAAGTTGGGGGGTTAATGATGACAGTCCATCATCCAAATCATCCTCTAGACGTTCACTACAGAGGATCAGTTTTAGTCTGCATGCCTGAAAGAGAGAAGGAAAATGTGCATTTACATAAAGACCGATTAAGGCTGGAATTTTAACACCACCTCCTAATATAACCTGCCTCTCTGCCCGCTTTAAGTCTCCACTGGTTCATGATTTAGAGATGGAAAAAGAAGAGAGGCAGACTGAGGAGTTATCTGGGACACTGTTTAATGATAAAACCTCCTTTTGCTGGAATATTCACTGAATAATTCAAGAATGCTGAGGAGGAGTTTTAGAAAAATGTGTGAATAATAAATACACACTGTTGGTTTGCTTCTAGACCACCACGGGAACCTTTATTTCGTCTTGTTTAAATTAAACTTCTCTGATTTTTATATTATGTAAATCGATCAGACTTTTTTTTTCCCCCCCAGACCTAAAAACAAAAGATGATTATAAAAGTACATCAGCTATATCCGGTAGAACATCTCTGTGGTTTGGCTGAAAAGGAAAAGTTATTTTTAAATCCATCCTTTCCTCAGTGCTCATAGCCTGAGGCAAAGATCCACCTGAGCTCAGGTGTGCGGACACGCACTGAAAAACTATTGATTGATCCTGTAAGGGAAACATTACACTCTGATAACTTGTTTACCTCCATGAAGTGTTCTTCTGAGAGGTCACATCTCTTCCTGTCTAATAAAGAACTAATATAATTTTTTTCCATCTGCTCTCAGGTTGCCGGTCCTGGAGTCCACAAACCCCTCTAGTGACTTGTCTCGGCCTCACCACATAGTGTCGGTGGTGCCCAACCGATACCCTCGCTGGTTCACTCTAAGCCACATAGAGACTCAACAGTGTGAACTGGCCTCCACGATGCTCACTGCTGCTAAAGGTACACAAACGTACATTGACTCAAGATTGGAAAAGTGCATTTTGAGGTGTTTTGTGATCAAACAGAATTATATATATACAGAAAACAGATCACATGGCAAGATAGAAATACCTGATATTCATGATAACCATCAGATTTAAAAATGAAACATCAATACTGTCAGTAATGCACATATGAAAAATATTATCTTTTATTTCACAGTGCTGCAATATAGGGGAAATTACTACTACTATTTATTGTAGAGTTCAGGTAGATGGCTCCATCAAACACACCCCTACACCACCCCAGCATCCACCTGTAGGCTTTGGGGTGATGTTTATTCATCATGCAACACACAAATACAGGTTAAACAGCAAAAGGAAAGACTTTATTGACTGTCAAAAAAATCCCAAAGTGACCCAAAACCAATAAGTAAAACAAAAGGGGCCACTTGACGCATATGGAATGAGGGAGAAGAAATGTCTGATTTTGAGAAAGTGTGCGCGCAAAGGGAGGGTATGGTAATCAGATAGGTGAAAACACTGAAACATAGAAAAGCACTGAGGGCAGGGCCAATAATCAGAACAGGGGAAAAAGAACACAAGCAAAAGTAAAACAGCAACAAAAGACCAACCAGCCTTCAAAGTAAAACAGGAAGTAACCAAAACCAAACCAAACATCTAAACACAAAGGCAGGAAACAATAAAGACTAAAGAAGATGATTGTGTAGAAGACAGAAGGAATGGGAAGAAAAAGATGAAACGTTTAAAATCTAAAAACTGATACCATGGAAACGATGGCAACCTTTTTTTCCCCACAATAAACTGTGAAGTGAAAATCTGATACCGTGACAGCCCTAATATCGCTCTGATGGTAATATCCTTTATGCTGCTTATCACCAATTGAAGTACTTCCCCACAGTATGTGGGAATTATTTTCAATGATAAAATGAATTAAATTAGAACAGCCTCAACCAGGATAAACAGGAAATTGGATTGAAGGCACAGTGAGCTGAGGAGATGCTGCATCTTCTCAGGCTGATGGTGTCAACTTAGACTTCTCAAAAAAAACTGAACAGCCTCCTGACAGAGCAATCTCGCCTTTAGTTTAGAGGTATTTAATGTTTTCTGACGTGTGCGACCACATACAAGACTAAAGTAAAATTTGCTACCTATGGCAAGCGAGAGAAACTATTTTGGAAAAAAACCTGCAGGTACCCAGGACATGTAAGAGCTAGAGTACCCTCAAAATAATGTAGTTCCTGATTACATCTGAAGGGAAAGTGTTTTTAGCCTTTTCAACACACCACATGGAAAGAAGGTGCAAAAAGTCTGTCACCTTAAATAGTTGTTAGAAGGATAATTGTGTCAAACTGAGCTGCGTGCAAACAGTACACAATTCAGGTTACACTTTCTGCTGTGTTCACCCATTTACATTAATTAAGATTTTACTTTAAATATCTTTTGGAAATGTGTGATCAAAGCACATGAAAAACAGAAACATAGTGTTGAACAGGCAATAAATGTTCAAATACTGCAAGTCTTGCTTGAAGGCATTTATTCAGTAAAGAACTTTGCACACCGGAGCAGCTGCTGTGTGAAGTGGGAATGTTGAAATGTTTGTTCAGGAACGTTACCAGAAATATATAAAGTTATAATGATGTGGCACTGGATGAGCTTGGCAGAAGAAGGTAATTGAAAACTACCCAGGTATTATTAGAGGGCCTGCCTGGTGACATTCTGTATTTTCTCCATTTGCTTTGTTTGATGTGTTACCAGGTGATGCTCGCAAACTAGAAACTGTGTTAGAGTCGATCCAGAAGAACATCCACTCCTCCTCCCACATCTTTAAACTGGCCCAGGATGCCTTCAAAATTGCCACTCTCATGGACAGCCTGCCTGACCTCACGCTGCTCAAGGTTTCCCTGGAGCTGGGCCTTCAGGTAAAGAAACACACACACACACACACACACACACACACACACACACACACACACACACACACACACACACACACACACACACATAATGCTTTCCCTAGCCCCTAACCCTAACCATTAAAAATGAATGCCTAACCCTAACCCTTACCCTAAACCTAACCATAACCTAATTGTAACCCTGACACTAAAACCACATTTTGAGCCTCAAAAATGCCTTCAAATTTGACCGGGTTGTGTGTCCTCACAAGTGACTGTTGGTTCTCACAAGTATAGTAAAATGCAGATTTCGGTCCTCACAAAGATAGCTAGACAGGAACACATACACACACACACACTGTACAGACTTTAATTTTGTGTTTCGTAAAGGTGATGAGGATGACCCTGTCTACACTGAACTGGCGTCGGAGAGAGATGGTGCGCTGGCTTGTCACCTGTGCTACTGAAGTCGGTGAGTTTTTCATACCAGAGGAAATCGTGACACACACCCTCTTTACAGTGCTAATTGTGTCAGAGGTGTCAATGGTGTCTTTTTATATAAATTGTGTTTCTGCATATTATAACCTGCATATTAATATCATCTAATGGTGAAATTTTGGGATAAAACCTCTTATATGTGCCATGCACAGGTTTAAGAGTGAGAGCATTGCAGCAGTCCCATATGGAAAAGAAATAGTAAAAACTTCCGAAAGACTTGCATAAGATGTGGCCTACTTCATATAGTGAATCATATAAGGCCTATATGATTTACTCATGAAAGTGGCCACTTTCTCATTACTTTCATATATTGTTTTAGTAAGTATCCAAAACATACAAGTTTCATTTGTATAATTTTTCAAGGGATCTTATATCCGTTTTCACTCTTGTATGCTTTTCATACAAGTTTCACACAAGACAGATACAAACTTTATAAGATTTATATATATCTATGTTTGTTCCCCTGCCATCTATGAGACAGAATCAGCGCAAATCTTGGTCATGCAATAACATTTAATCGGTTACGCAACTTAAAAAGTAACAGGTTAGGTTGTATCTGAATACTTTAACATACAATAACACAGTCTACACTGTCTAATAATTAAACTAAAATTATGTTTGGAAGGAACAGCCAATTAGAAGAGAGTTGGCTTCAGGGAGGATTGGCCTTAAAGCGTGGACTTAAAACAGGAGTCCAAGACATGAAGTTGGAGAAGAGTGTCATTTATGTTATGCTGTTATCATGAGTAACCAGCAATAAACGGACTGCTTCTTTAAGCACACTGTTTATTTCAGTTCTTACACTGCTGCTGTGCTTGTGGTTAAATTTTGTATAAAGTACAATGCAGTTCAGTTTGTCTTTCTATTGCACCACAGAGTCTACTCATACATGTGTAGAAAAAGCTCGACAGGCCTGCTGTGCCCTGTTGTGGGAAGGGAATAGCAAACAGTTAGCTACAAATAGATTGTAAAGATGTTTGTGCCTGTGAATGCTTAGAGATTTAGGGACTTTTGCGAAACAGCAGGTCAGACTTCATAAGTGGGTTTTGGAAAGCTCTCTGCAAGGGAGATGGAATGACTGGAAGGTCAGTAATTATGGGAGATTGTGGGCTGTTGGCTGATTAAGTGGGCCTTATGTTTGGCCTTGAATACTGTGGCTGATTTCCCTGAAGTGGACAGGAAGCTAAGTCCAGGGGGAGGGAGCTCTACAGAGGAAAACCCTCCTTCCAGATGATCTCTTGTGAATGCAGGGGAGTGACAAGGGGACCCTGTTTCTGTGAGCGGACTTTGAATGGATTCATTGAGAAAATGCCAGCCTGGTGTGGAGTGGGGGCCAAATCATATAATGTCAGAGGAATTAGCAACAAACTGTCCAATTACAATGTAATAAGCTGTTTTAATTAATGATTTTCATTTACAAGGCCAGATCAGAACTGTATTGCATGTTTTGTTAAATAAAATATGTACGGTGGTTTTGAAAGGTTCAAAATATAATAGTCATTTTAGATTGCCTTTTTATTTCTGCTTGGATTCGTTCAAGGTTTTTGCATGGAAGGATAATGATGTTTCAGTTTTCAGCATCAATAGATCTCCTGTCTTATGATTTACACTTCACACGCTTTCGGTACTAGACTTTCATCGGGAAATGTGGTAAATGTAGAGCATACTTAGTGACATTTGCGATTGAAAGCTTCACTTTAAAAACCTCTTAACTGTCAAGCTAAGATTTCTTTTTCTGTCTTTCTAGGCGTGTTTGCTCTGGACAGCATCATGCAGAACTGGTTCACCCTCTTTACCCCCACTGAAGCAACCAGTGTTGTGGCTAGCACTGTCATGTCCAACAGCACTATTGTCCGCCTGCATCTGGACTGCCATCAGCAGGAGAACCTGGCCAACTCTGCCCGCACCTTAGCCCTGCAGTGTGCCATGAAGGACCCCCAAAACTGTGCCCTCTCAGCTTTGACACTCTGTGAAAAGGACCACAATGCCTTTGAAACAGCCTATAAGATTGTACTGGATGCAGCTGCCACTGGAATGAACTACACACAGCTGTTTACAATAGCACGCTACATGGAGCACCGCGGTTATCCAGCAAGGGCCTACAAACTAGCAACGTTAGCCATGACTCACCTGAACCTAAGCTACAACCAAGACACACACCCGGCCATTAATGATGTGCTCTGGGCATGTGCTCTCAGCCACTCCCTGGGTAAAAACGAACTGGCAGCCGTCATCCCTCTAGTGGTGAAGAGTGTGAAGTGTGCCACTGTCTTGTCGGACATTTTACGCCGGTGCACTCTAACAACACCAGGTGGCATGGTGGCACTACACAGTCGCAGAAACTCTGGAAAGCTGATGTCTCTGGACAAAACTCCACTCAGGCAGCTACTGGACGCCACAATCGGGGCCTACATCAACACAACGCACTCTCGGCTGACGCACATCAGCCCACGCCACTACAGCGAGTTCATCGAGTTCCTCAGCAAAGCCAGAGAAACATTTCTCATGGCACACGACGGACACATCCAGTTCACACAGTTCATAGACAACCTAAAACAGATATACAAGGGCAAGAAGAAGCTCATGATGCTTGTTCGAGAGAGATTTGGTTAAAAGACGATCATATGACCAAATTGTATTTTTGTTGTTGTTGTTTTGTTTGTTGTCTCCTTTTTTTTAAATCCTTTCTAACTTGAAGTGAAAATCCACCTAAAACAACTTACATGTGAATCTTATTTCTGTGCTTTAGGACTGCTGGGTCTGATGGATAACACAATTTCCTCAAGGCAAATATTTAAGACTGTGACGTTAAAACGTTACCGAGCATGATCACACACAGATTCTAGTGTTGGGTAGCCAACACTAGAATCTGGCCCAAAAGGTTTTAGAGTAAAGTTTAAAATTTGGAGGGGAAAAAAAGACTGTAAACCATATCCGCAACACCCGGGGCCAAGACTAAAACAGAGTGTACACACTTTTTTGTTTGGGAGATTTGAGGCTTTTCATACCGGTTCTGTCCTTATCCAGCTTATTTCACCATAAATAGATATACAAATGCACTGAGTCTTTTGTCACATAAATAATTCTGAATGTAGAGTTAGTTGCTACTGGTGGATAGCTAATGGCTATACTGTGACCATGTTCGTTCTAAGATAGTTGCTCTTATAACGCATACAATTGTGATGTCGGCCAAGACAGTACTGTAAATACAGACGTTCCCATTGGGGCTTTAATCAGACATGTAACTTGTAAATCATCTTCACCCCAGTAGCAGTAGCTACAACCATAGTCATAACTGCAGCAAGAGTAATGCCCAAAAACTTTATCTGCTAGTGATTATATTTAGCCTTCGAGAACCAGAGGAAGGAATCTACCTTTAATGGCCACTCATCACCACATTCTGGAGTCAGTGTGGCATCATCATAGTAGAGACACAGAAAAGCAACAATTTTTCTTATTTGACAGTATTCTTTTGAAAATGTTTTTAATTATTTAAATAGTTGCCAACTATTATTTTCTGTTGATCCACGGATAGATTAAGTAATTGGATCTCTAATTAAATGTATTAGTTTGAACTGCAATATAATCACAAAGTTATAGGTACCGCTCCACCAATTTGTGATATTGTAGCGCCAAACCATAATTCTTATTAAATGTTTAAAAGATAAGCAGGAATTACATTTTAGAGTTCCTGTTCAGTCTGTTCAGGGAGTTCTTCCTTCCCACTGACAACAAGTGTATGATAATGGTAGAGTTATTTCTCGAACGTTGTATGGTCTTTTCCTTAACCTCCGAAGACACGAACTCTTCCACGACATGCATTTTTCATTTCTCTTTGATATTTGTGCATATTGGGGCCCGATGAATGTAAAAACAAAGAATTACCAGATTTTTTTTTTTTTTACCTTTTTTTTTAAAAAAAGAAAAATAAGAGCCACATATGAGGATATTCGTTTAAAATTTTGATAGAACAGTAGTAGTATAATGTCCTCGTAAGTGGATATCAGGCCCATGTAGAGCAAAATTGAATATTTTGGTCTAAATAACCCAAAATGTGATGTCCACATATGTGGACGCCAGGTCCTAGGAGGTTAAAGCACTTTCAAATGATTCTGGTTTATGATGGCATAAAAAAACAAGTATGCAGCTCAAATGAAATGTAAATCTGTTGCTTTTTGGTGTCTTAACAGTATAGACACTGAAAATCTTGGACTGTTCACCAATACCAAACATTTTTATTTATTTATTTTTTGCTGCTTTCTGATGTTTAGAAGTTACCCCGCTGACCACTGTTATCATTATGCAGCAGATTTTTTTTGTTTTTAAATGTAGCTCACAGAATTTTTTGTGTCAACACACCAACAAACTTGGCAGTTATCTTTCAAAGGCAGCAAATAATAAGACCACTTACTAACAAGCGTAAATGTATAAAGTGTAATGATTTTGCGATGTTGTATGGGGGAAGAAACACTTGCCTTCATTTCTAAGAAAACTCCACAGGGTACCTTTAATAGACCAGACTTTTTAAACATCACTTTATCTGTGGGAGTGTTGTACACACTGTTTATACATCTGGCCCCTGGTATTGATGTGTCAAAAAAACCCCAAAAACTATGTATTTAGTTTGCAAAACTGTCACTTTGTTTGAAGATTTTGTTTTCCATTACATACAAACGTGAGAGGGTTTTACGCTGTGTATTTCCTGTATTGTCCAGTGGCAAAATGTCTGCCTTGCACTGCTCCTGCTTTCCTCGGCTAATGCTCACAGCCTCAAAGAGAAGACAAATGGCTTTAAACCAAATGGACCATTTGAAGTGACGAGTACCTCTTTTAAAGGATCCAGCTTTACTCTTCCCCCCAGGCCTCCTCACCCATCTGCTCAAGAAAGGCTCTAAATCCACCGTCAAAATTCATTTCGCTGCCATTTCCAGGCTGGTTGTTTTGGCTTTGCAGTGTTGTCGCAAACGTTCAGTATGCTTATTTGACGGACACATTTGCCACGATAGCACGACGACAAACCATCGCAGTTCTTATCCTCGTGGAAACTATGTATATTCTCAGGGATTTCTCAAAAAACACAAAACAAAACAAAACAAAAAAAAACAGAAACAAACAAACAAACAAAAAAAAAAGGCAGAAAAAAGAACAAAAGCATTTTATTGTCCTGTGTATATATGAAAGTATATGTCTGAATATTGAAAAAATGTATATGTTAACTAATTTATGACAGAATATTCTATGTAAGACACAATACTTGAAGCTGCAGTAATTTTGGAAACAAGCGAAAAACAAAACATATCAGAGGGACTTCTAAACGTTGGCCTGGCATTGCATTACGGGCCCTGTTTGGGCTCTGCAGACATGAAATGAACTGCAGAAAGTGGCCGGCAGGAAGTGGACGTGCAGAGTGGGTATTATCCAGAGCACAGAAGTGTACTGAGGGGTTTTACAAGTCATTGAAGGAGGCAGAGCGGCAGCAACATACAGCTGCCAACTGCTGCTGTTCTCTCATTGTGGTCAAGTCTGCCTCATTCCACCTTCTGCAGTGATTTGCTCACAAAATGAAGCTTTTTTTTTTCTTTTTTTTTTTGAAGTCCATGCCTTTTCTCACTTCTTGACTTTGTGCAGGACAGAAAGTTGCTCTGTACAACAGGTCTTGACTGTTCCACTTCATTTTTAAAAAATTTATTTAATTGTAATGTTATTGTCTCTTCCTCTTTAACTTCATTTCTCTAGAATTCCTCACACAAGAACAGCCTTCTTTCTTGCCTTGTCTTAATGCTTTAAAATAACCAAATGGGAGTTCTAACTACCAAACTCTTTTCATACGCAAACTGACCATGATGATGGCCTTTTAGTGTCTTTGATTTGTAGCTGAACTGGCTCTGTATTCTGTGCTTGAAAAGCTCATCTCATCTTCTTCAGTGTCGTCTCTTAGAGGTCTACTAGTAGCTCTTTTGTTTAGAAATGAATGATGTGCCCTTTTATTTATTATATTAGGTAAATGATTGTACAACCATGTCAACATGCTCATGAAGTTAAAACTAAGATTTGATACACTGATCGATTTATTTATGTAACTAAATCACTGTTTTATAAAGTTGTTAATGAATCAACACTTTGCTTTAATTAAATTAGATTTTTGAGAGGAAAATGTCTTTGTGTTTATTATTGCTTTTAAGGTACATATTGTAATTTTTTTTTAAATGTATTTAAAATAAATTGATTTTTATTTAAAATGGCTTATAATCAGCCACTATCGCTATCTTCAGAATGTAAAGAAACACTCCTGTTTTATTTCCAAAAGATCTATGTATTGTGTTAAAGAGATACCAACTTAAGTTGAGCTGGGCTGTACTTTGGTGTAATACCAATTTGTAACATAAGATGCCGTAGTATGTTAGTAGTGTCATTTTGACTTTATCAGGAAAGTAGATTGGAAACCCTTTTTAGTTTATAGCTATCCTAAGACATGGGATTGCTAAAAAATAATATTGCAACTTTTAAACTGGTGCTGCTGAAAGCTTTAGTTAAATTCTGCATAAGGTGATTGCTAAAACAGAAAACCGTAAAATACAGGAACGGCAGAACTGTCAGCTATCATTTTAATAATCCTCTCTCAATTTTTTGAACGCTAAATTATACAACACCAATTCATAACAACAGTTTCCTCGAGGTACTTTAACATAGGGCAAAAACCAACAAGAAGATCTCCAGCAGAACCAGGCCCATGGAGGGGCAGCCATCTGCTGCGACGAACCAAATCAGAAAGTTATGTGGTTATGTGGACTGATGACCGTGTGTACAGCAGCATTTTAATCATTATATTAAACGCTGTAGGTGGCAGCCACTGATCTTACTGTATAAATGTAACAGGGCTCGGTAGTGGTTCTAAAAGTTTGAACTGCTTCGAGCTTTATTTGTGACAAGCACATTAGCTTACCAAAAATGCTAGCTAGCTAGCTGGTACTGCTGGGATGCTATATATTCACAAGCAAACATAAGCCTAAAAAAAAGCTGGCACTTCATGCAGTGATGCTAGTGTAATTCATGTTAGCGCTAACTTGTAGTTAGTACAGCTTTTTCTCCAGGGACCAAAAATTCACAGAACTGCTATATGATGAAGCTAATCCAACAATGAATCCCGAAGCTAATAGGAAAAGGAAATTGAATTGAAACGAAGGAGCTCATCATTAAATGTCAGAAAATAATCTGCATTCTTAATTTGACTTTAGTCAAAGGTCAAAGGCCTATAGATTTCTCCGTAAAAATCACAGTTTTTATTTGTGAATCTAAAATTGTTTTTTTTAAATAACATTTTTGTTGCGAGTTGCTCTTTTCTCTCTGTAAATCTCTTTACAAGTAAAGTATTAAATAATTAATTTTTCATTTAGTGAGATTCATTACTTCCTCTTTTTATTGTCCATTAAGTTGTTAATTAGTAATACATAACTACAAGACCTAAAAAAAAAAAATGATAATGATAGAAAAAATATTTTCCTACTTTTGACTGACTTCCACAAGATTTTGTTTTACCAATTGCATTAAATGGTTTGTTTATTTGATTAGTTTAACTCAGCCAGGAGTTATCAATTCACCTGCCAAGCCAACCTGCTGACATAGTTTCTGGGGGCAATGGGCAATTTTTTGAGGCTTGTGGTGGAGCCAGTAGATACCAAGACTTCCTGTTCCATCTGCCAATACCATGTTGAATTAAAATAAATGTAATACATTTGAGCTCTCAGATGCAGACTTTGTGAAAAGCGGTACTACGCAGTCATTTAAGCATCACTGAAAAACTATTTTACAAAGTGGTGAAAGAAAACCCTTTTATTATTAATTATATATATAAGATCCCTTAATCTTATTTATGTAATAATAAAAAAGTTTTAATAATTAAGCATTTTAAAGTAAAAGCACTAATTATATAGAATAAAATTAATTACATTATTTTGTCTGAATTCATAAAAATATTATATATCACTAAATTTATACAGTAAAGACTACAAAGTAATGACCCAGCTTTTTTTAAAAAAAAAAAAAAGTTATGATTCATAAAGTAAAATATTTAGATTCAAAATACAGTGGAGCTGAAGTAGGAAGTGGCATAACATAGTATAAGTACATTGAAGCCTGTACTTGAGTAACCAAAGTTAATTAGGTTCTACCATTGGGCCCAGTCATGCTCTCAGCTAAGGATAGGTGTTGGGCATTGACAGTTAAACCCCTGGCAGTTTAAAAACTGTTTTACTATGTCTGTCTGGTAAGAAAATCACACATGAGTAGAATGGAGGTCATTTTTTAGGGTAGATTCAAGATTCCTTATTTGTCACATGCATAGCCATACAATACAACACACTGTGAAATGTGTCCTGAACTGCTCATTGACTGTGCAAAACATTATGAACAAGAAGTAAATTTAAATTAAAAATGGGAAATTTTAAATTAAAACCTGAAAATGTACATGTGCAAATGGAATGTTAAAGTGCTTTATGTCATATTAGCACAGCAATGTATTGACAGAGCAGTGCAAGTAGAATAAACAAAATGACCAAAGTAATTTAACAGTAGTGAAGCAGTAGTACTCTTCCTGTTCATTCCTGGTCCTCCTCACACATCCTGTGGGGATGATGCCCCTCTATGGCCTTGTCCAGATCTCCTCTTGTAATAACTCCCTCATCGTACCTATCTCTGCCACCAATAGTGACAAGAACACTAGCAGTGGCAAAAATAGAGAAAAATAAGTCAGGGGGGAGAACAGAGAACAATGGGCTGTGGCCATCACCTGCAAAAATCTTCCTTTTTGGGCGCTTAGTTTGTTGTTGTCTCTCCAGTGCACCTATTGTCACTTTCCTTTGGATCATAACAGGTGAAATG